ACTCTATCTGAGACCTCGACGAAATGGTCAAAGGTGAAAGGAAAAGACATCTGATGTTGGCACACATTTTCATTTAGTTTAGTTCGATTTTAACTTACAAGATACACACGAGAGACTTGAATGCACATCCCGTAGCTAAGTAATTGGAGTCGAGACAAAAGACCAACCCCCCCCCCCAAAAATAAAAAAATAAAAAAATAAATAAAAAAATAAATAAAAATAAAAATAAAAATAAAAAAATAAAAAAATAAAAAAACCCTGCAGGCTTAGACAATATTCTAAGTAAACATATATATCGGTGCATGATGTCAAGGTGAGTCATTCAGCTGGTGGAGCGACTGGCAAAGAGTAGTGAGTTTGTTCAACATATCCCTCGCTCCAACAAATCCACTGGCAAGAAAGAGAGAGAGAGAGAGAGAGAGAGAGAGAGAGAGAGAGAGAGAGAGAGAGAAGAGAGAGAGAGAGGCGAAGATAGGTAGATAAATAGAGACAGAGAGAAAGACAGAGAGAGAGAGAGAGAGAAGAGAGAGAGAGAGAGAGAGAGAGAGAGAGAGAAAGAGAGAGAGAGGGGGGGGGAAGGAGGGGCACAGGGGAGCTTAAATAAACAAACGTAATAAAGGCGAGACTGCTTAAAACAGAAGAGGCAAACACCCAAACGCACTAAAGGATCTTCAGTCAAAAGTACAGAAAAACATGACATTCACGGAAGTACTATTGAAGATTTCACAAACGTTCATTTATAAGCTTGCTTTTCACTTCATCTAATTGATACTTAAAGAACAAACAACATAACAGCGAAATTCTGTTTCAAACAAACATGTATGAGAAAATCGTTGAACAAACGAGTTTCTACAGAAGTGAGCCAATCTGGGCTGATTCCCGCTCTTCCCAGGTAAGCCATGAGGTGATGTATGCGTTGCACAGCAGACACTGCGCCGCTCCCACTGTTTGCGCAGGCTAAATACGACGGATTCTTAAAAGTAACACACAAGGCACCTCTGTAGCCAACCCAGTCCGCATAATCTCAGTTGATGCCGTATCATTGCCTCTCATTCTCGTCCGACATAACGTGGCTTTCAGCCCTTGTTTTTGTTTTCTGTCCACAATATCTTTCTTTTTCTCTCGTTTTTTCGTTACTTTCAGCCCCCCCCCCCCACACACACACAAGCACACACACACATACACACACATACACATACACACCCCTCTTTCCATCTCTTTTCCGAACTTTTCGTCCAGGTGTTTACAACTAGTAGCATGCGCACTATGGAATGGTACATTATTGTGTGGTATGGAATTATGTATTGTATGCTGTGGTTGGGGGTGGTGAGGTATGGCATGTGGTATGTTGTGCTATTGTTTGATACGAAAGGGGATTTATATATATTTGTACAAGATATTGTATGGCAGGAGGAAGTGTTATGTCATTATGGTGTGGCTTGTGGTCTGGTATGTTATCGAGCAATATGGAATTGTTTTATGGTTTTATGTAGAGTGGAAAGATCCGGTATAACAGTGGTATCGACCCCTTCTTCTTCTTCTTCTCTCTTCTTCTTCTTCTTCTTCTTCTTCTTTCAAGTTCTGTAGACCAAGAGTTAGATAAAGATATCCCCTAACAATACCCCCAGCTAGCCAGACTGGAAAACGTTTTAAAACTGCATTAACAGAAAGTCCTTCAGCATCATTGTAAACAGAACATCCACCTCGGTACCTGCTCTGCAGCTCCTAGCAGGCCGCACGCGCGCACGCACACACACACACACACACACACACACACACACACACAC